CCAGAGCAGACCTCATAGTCGCGCTCGATCCAACGAAAGTGGTGATCGGAGTGGACCCCATGGCCGCACTCGATCCGAAAAGAATGTTGATCGGAGTGGTCTGCCCTACAGAGCCACCGAATCCAGCCGAAACGTTCACAACCGAAGTCTCGGAACTACTCCCGTTTCCGGTGTGAGCATCAAAACCGAATCCGTCCATACCCGCCATTGCGCACGGATATGACTACTACCTTAAGATTGTTACAACTTTTGTACGGATTACAACGGACGGGGAAGATGAACAGCCTCGGAAAATAAAAAATAAATAAAATTCTGAATTTATAACTTATTCAGAATATTACAAGATAAACAGAATTGAAAATAAATTTATATATCTTCAAACAGCCTTGTTGTATGAGGACATTAAGCACTGGACATCGATGACATTATGCACTGGACATCGAGGACATTATGCACTGGGCTGCGAGGACATTATGCACTAGGGCAGAATGCAGCGAGGTCTTTATGAACTAAACCTGCAAAACAAAACACCGTGAAGGACAGCGGAGTCGCTGGAGCTGTCCTTAAGGTAATAGTGCCCGCCTACCGTACCGGAAAAACGTGGGCACTCTCCTCCCAGGATAAAACCGCTATCGTGTGTGGAGATTGTACGGACCAACCACACACCAACGAACAAGAACAACGTAGAAACGTTGACGACCAAAAAAACTTTAAGAGAGATGGCCGGAAAATTTGGCCAGAAAATCAAGAGCTCTCTCTAAAAGAAAACAAGAAAGTGAGTTTGTCTTTTCTTTTTCTCTTCCTCACGCATGAAACCCACACATAAAACACACCACACTAAACAATGGAGAGCTCTTGATATTTATAACTAAGGAATTTTAAAAAGTGTAACTCCTACACCATTAATCCATGGCATTTGTGGCACAATAATGACGTGTTAATGGTGATTAATTAGCCATTAACACGTCCGTTACGCTACGCTCCGTTTAAAATTTGTCCCAAATAATTGGAGATTAATGGCTAGTTAACTCCGTAAAAAGGACTAATTTTAAACAATACGTAAAATTAATAATAGAAGATTGGCTGAGTAAAATTGCAAAAATTTGCAATCCTTACCATATTCTTTTATTAATTTTACGTATTGTTTAAAATTAGTCCTTTTTACGGAGTTAACTGGCCATTAATCTCCAATTATTCAGGACAAATTTTAAACGGAGCGTAGCGTAACGGACGTGTTAATGGCTAATTAATCACCATTAACACGTCATTATTGTGCCACAAATGCCATGGATTAATGGTGTAGGAGTTACACTTTTTAAAATTCCTTAGTTATAAATATCAAGGGCTCTCCATTGTTTAGTGTGGTGTGTTTTATGTGTGGGTTTCATGCGTGAGGAAGAGAAAAAGAAAAGACAAACTCACTTTCTTGTTTTCTTTTAGAGAGAGCTCTTGATTTTCCGGCCAAATTTTCCGGCCATCTCCCTTAAAGTTTTTTTGGTCGTCAACGTTTCTACGTTGTTCTTGTTCGTTGGTGTGTGGTTGGTCCGTACAATCTCCACACACGATAGCGGTTTTATCCTGGGAGGAGAGTGCCCACGTTTTTCCGGTACGGTAGGCGGGCACTACTACCTTAAGGACAGCTCCGGCGACTCCGCTGTCCTTCACGGTGTTTTGTTTTGCAGGTTTAGTTCATAAAGACCTCGCTGCATTCTGCCCTAGTGCATAATGTCCTCGCAGCCCAGTGCATAATGTCATCGATGTCCAGTGCATAATGTCCTCATACAACAAGGCTGTTTGAAGATATATAAATTTATTTTCAATTCTGTTTATCTTGTAATATTCTGAATAAGTTATAAATTCAGAATTTTATTTATTTTTTATTTTCCGAGGCCGTTCATCTTCCCCGTCCGTTGTAATCCGTACAAAAGTTGTAACAATAAACACATATCAATTCTTGAAGCATTGATGTAACAATATAAAAAAAAGTTTAGGACATTGATTTCATTTATTAAGTCTTGTAATATTTATGTAAACTCGTGTAATTGTGGGAGTATAGATGTCAATTTTTTCCTAGATTTGAAAATGTTTATCATAATCTAATGGTATTAAATCGGTCTTAGATTTGGAAAGATTTTTATTATACATAAACTAGATTTGCACCCGTGTTTGCACTGTCACAGATTTCACCAAATATGATAAATTCCTTATTTGGTAAAAAGAATTGTAAGTGAAGAAAACCCCCTAAATAGGAATAAAACACGGATCATATCCTCAACATAAGAGTTCAAACTTTAACTCCCCTAAATATGAGTAATTAATTAAATATATGTTTTAATTAACCCTCCTAGCCGCACAAACAAGTTGGCCGCACTAACCAAGTTGGGCGCACAAACCAAGTTTGACTCCTAATACTCATTAAACAAAACTATGGCAAAAAGTAGAGTTACTTGACATTTACCATTTTTTGACATTATGCATTAACATCTGTAATATTTAACATTACACATTGATATATCTTTCATTATACATTAGCAGGAATGATATTATACAATGTCAAGGTTGGCATTATCTATTTAATTTGTTTAGCATTATGCATTCGCATGTATGACTTTATACATTGGCATGATTGCCATTATATGATTACATGTGACATTTAATGTGGTCTTTTTGACACTGTATGGACATTTTAATTTATCAATTTACTACGTTTCTATATGTAAGGTATTGATTCATTTTTGTTGATGAAGTTTTGGGTGTGTTTTGTTATTATATTTAATTTTTTTTACGTTCAAATTTGTTATTTTTTTTAGCATTATGCATTCGCATATATGGCTTTATACATTAACATGATTGTCATTATATCATTACATGTGACATTTGATGTGGTCTTTCTTGACACTGTATAAACATTTTAATTTAGCAATTTACTACGTTTCTATATGTAGGTATTGATTCATTTTTGTTGATGAAGTTTTGAGTGTGTTTTGTTATTGAATTAATTTTGTTTACCTTCAAATTTGTTATTTTTTTTGTCGATTCAGTTTTGTTAACGACTCAATAACAATTTATTATAAATCAAGATGAGTGAACGAGAGTTCTTGCCAACAACACGCAGCATGAAAAGTTTTTCTTTAATAATCATACGATTGATTTGGGCGGCAGTTTGTGGAACTACTTGGTCAAGCAAGGGCAATGTTCACATGGTCATTATGTTACAACATTATGTTCCCATGGAAGAGTTGAAGAGGCACTAGAGTCTTCTTTTGACAACTCTACTTGGAATAAATCCGGAACTACTTGGAATAGCTTGTTTTTTTGTATAATGCTTAAAATCATTGTCCCAAGTTCATGTTACATCTTTTGACAACTCTACTTTTTTTTTCTTGTTTGGGTTGACACTGTTATATTTACAGATTCGTTATGATTCTTGAAATTCAACAACAAAGGCCGTTAGACTTAAATTTTCAAAGGAAATGCTAGTTAGTGTTAAAATTGTGCAGTAATGTGAAGGGTTACCTAACACAATAGTGCGAGAAAGTATATGTGGTACAGAGTAGATATTGAGTCAGACACGTATTACCTGGACTAAAGTATTTAACTTGGTAATCGTAAAAATTTAAAACTTTTCAAACACATTTTATTAATCCCAATAATTTTTCATAACATATTCAGTACGGAGTATTCAACAATATTGCGGAAGCGAATTTAATTTTGACATATCATAAATCATTTCAAACTTTTCACATCCATCCCGACAATCTCGCCCCATCTGCTGCCAGGATCACATTGTTCTTTCTATTTACCTGCGTGTACCAAATAAAACACACTACATGCTCAGCGGCAAAGCTGAGTAAGCATATCTAATGCGTCGAACATTCATATAAACTGAATCTAAATTCATAATCAAATCAATTGATATCATGCACACAATGTTTGTTTCAGACATTCACAGTTTTGATTTTGTTCAGTTCATATGAACACATTTTATTCCATTCAGATATTATTCCGACAGTGCCTTTAAATTATTCTTAATCTAAGGCCAAATAATAACGCTACTTCCGCTCAGGTGCAAGCCAAATTATTCTTAATGAACGCTACTTCCGCTCAGGTGCAAGCCACCGCTGAGGGGGTCAGCATCCCCATGGTTGCTAGCAAATGAACACCAATTTGATGGAAATAAATTCCATCTAAGAATTCGACCTAAAAGGCATATTTGAATTATGAACTAGGAGAACAAAGAATGAATCAATACTAGTGCTTGAGAAAATGGAAATGGAGCAGGAGTCTATTAGTTATGTTGAGTGTGTGTTGTACAATGGCTTGCACCCTTATTTATAGTTTAGATAGTATGCGATACATGGACGGTGGTAAAGCATGGCAAGTTCAATTAGCCATAATCCCTCTCCGCCATTGGCCCCGCGCATCGTGTTTCCTTTTAATCAACGTTCGACATGGTGAGTCTCGGGGAAAGATGATAGACTCTTTCCTTGGTCGCACTCGAGCCAGGCGAGAAGCCCATCAATTCTTCCTTGTAGGCTAGACCGCTCAAAAGCCATTCCCCCCTCGTCTAGGGCCCCTTTGGTCTTTCGTGGATATTGGGCTTGGCCTGGACCATGCCGGCTCAATAGTCCATCACTTGAATATTAATAACTCTATTATAATGTAGTATACGTTCATACATTCTCAACTCATTAAGTACGTTGAGTTATATCCCACTGTGGATGGAAAATGATTTTATATTCTAACTTTCAAATGGCATTTCAACCAAGCTAGAAATTATTTTTTTAACCAATTTAGAATGTTACATTGCCAACTTTTAAAAAGATATACATTCCTAAAGTGTTGGCAAAGAATCCCTTTTGTCAAAAAACAAAAAATTGAAGAAGAGCATATCTCGAGATATCTTAAATGGGAAGAAGTCAATGAAAGTTTTTTCAAAGGGCATTTGACAAATGATCGAATTTAATACTCCGTAGTAATTAACTGCTTTGATGCTTAAAAAAGGAAGAGTTGTTCCGAACCCGTCCCACTAGCTTAGTAATATAAACAGAAACCCCTTTTTATGCCGTTGAATTCAAATTCCACCACTGTACCTTTTCACTCTGCTCTACCCTGACTCACTTTTTGAGAGAGAGAGAGTAAAAAACATTCCAATGTCGATGTCCATACCAAACAGAAGGCTCAAACGGAACCCTGCGCCGCCGCACAGCCCCAATATCATCCACTTGCCCATCAGAAGGCCTCGCAAGGAAAACCGCAAACCTACCGGGGAGAAACCCCATTCGTCCCCGACCCGCCGCCCTTTTCTCCCTCCCCACCACGAAGAGAGGGAGTTCTCAAGTGGCGGCGTTGTCCCGATTGTGGTTCTAAACTCCGCTTCGTGCGCCCATAGAAGAGAGAGGGCAGAGGAAAACTGGATGGTTCAAGCCGAGATGTGGAGGGCGGAGTGTAGTTTCCTGAGGATGGAGAGAGTGTTTGCTATGAAGAAGCTCGAGAGGAACAGAGTCCAGATGGAGGCTACTCTCAGATCGGCTGTTCAGGCCCTCGTTGCAGTTAGTCCCGCCCATCTCCATCTCCTTTTTCTTTTCTTTACTCGTTGTAAACTGCTTGTTTCAATTTTGTGTTAAGAATAAGTTGGCAGCTGGTTTAAATAAGTTGGGAGAACTCAATTTTTTTGAATTGTTGGGTCTATAGGGAAAAAAGAAAGTCTCTGAAGGAAAGAATGAGGACGCCACCAATGTAGAGCAAGAGATTGAGGAATTAGCAGCGAAGCTGGAGGAGTTGAGAAGGAGCTCAACAAAGGGAAATTGGGATTCTGAGATTAAGAGGTGCAGCAAAAAGCTCAGTGGATGGGGCTGTGAAAGAGGCTTAAGGAATCCCCAACATCTGTTTGAAACAAACTTGTCTGTCAACAATGGCAGCCGAACTGAAAACAAATCAACTCATGTAAGAATTAAGCTAGCCCTTGTGCTTTCTTTTTAAAAAAAAGAAGAAAGAAGATGAACCCCATTTCCCACTGCCCCCAAGTCCAACTTGAATAACTTTATGTTTTTTCTATGGGATGAAGTGGGTATTCATAAGTCATTGAAGTGTGGTATGAGTTTGATGTGAAAAGCCACAGGGAGAGTTAGATGGAAGAGAGACAGAAGAAGGTGGATCAACAAATTCAAGCACTCCCAATAACTCTGTACCCAGTTCCACTTCATCTCCAAAGTTTTCCATCACCCAAAATCCCCATCAGGTAAACTTCTATTTTGTGCTAGCTTGGAAAATGCTACTGCCTCTCTCCTACAATATTTATCCATTTTTTATATTTTGTAGTCAAAATTAATACAATTTGCCCATTAATTAAATAAAATTTATACTCCTTCCCTTCTAAAACTAACTTTACATTTGACTTTTAACGATTTTTAATGCAACATTTTTATTTCCATTTATATACATAAATATATTATAAGAATAAAAATATTTCAAAACTGAAATGAGAAAGTTCCTGTATCATTTTTCTTTTGTGGACAAGTAGTTAAATGGGTGGGGGTGGCAGGAGGAGGGGGAGGCGTTAATAAGAAGGCCAGTGGAGGAGGAGGAGAAGAGGTGCTCAGGGCAATGCAAAGCAGTAGTGCGAAAGATCATAGAGCAAGTGAAAGCCGAGTCAGATCAATGGTCCCAAATGCAAGAAATGCTTGGGCGGGTTAGGACTGAGATGCAATACCTCCATTCCAAAGTATATATTTAGTCTCTTCTTTCTTTCTTTCTTTCTTTTTTTTTTTGAACAGAGAGAAAACAGGAACTCATTTATTATAATGGATCATATCCATCGGGGGGTGTGGTCAGGTGCAGGAATGGAAAGAGAAAGCACAGAGATCCGAAGCCAAGGCTAAGGAGCTGGAGAAACAACTGTCTGCTGCGGCTCTGGAAAAGTTAACGTTGAGGGCGACAAATTATAATCAAGGCGGCAGCAAGGAGGCAATAATAAAACCAACCCAGAATTCTCCCAACAAGCTCTCAACCTGCAAACATATCGAGAAGGAGAAACCCGCCCCGGTTCCTCGAGCCAAGAACGAAACCCACACCGTTCACGACGACGACTATGATACTACAGAGAGGAGAACCCCGCAGATTTCGCTGGCAATGCAAATAGAGAAGGAGAAACGGAGAAGATCTCCGTTTGGAGATGTGGCTAATTCCACACGCGCACTGCTTGGCCAGATGGGGCAGAATGAATAACAACTAATAACTTGGCTGACGGCTTAATTAACCTGCCGAGCAAAAGGAATGCAGAGATCTTTGCAGCATGAAACATTGTTCATCAGTTTTCTCAATTAATAACAGTAATCTCGATCGTTAGTTCACACCAGATTACTTGAGTTCTGAATTACTAATATTATTAGTACTCAACTACAGCAGAATGAGTGAATTAGTACTCAACAACAGCAGAATTACTAAATTAGTGAACAGCAGTTTACTACTACTCCGTATTAAAGTACTCAACTAGAGCAGAATTACTTGTTCAATTACTCCTGTTGTCATAAAACTATTTTCCTACTTCTATTCACACCATCAATTTATTTACTTTTTTACTCTTATTTTCATTAAAAATCTAATAAAATAAATATTCATGTCATCTCTAGTCTTGTAGAACTTTTGATTTAATTTTTAAGTATATATAAATCTTATTTTTAAATTTTAAATTTATAATAGAATAAATTGAAATGAAAATAATTGGTGCCTATTTTCTAAAATATAGGTAGCACTGGTGCTCCATTCTTAATTTCCATTTATTATTTCTTTTTCTCCTTTTATTCCTTTATTGTTTCTTTTATAATCAAGTTTTACTGAATTTCTTTTTAATTTCTTTATAACGTTCTTAAAATTTAAAAATTGTTTTTGTTTGAAAAACATTAACATACGAGTATATTACATCTGTACGTCTCAAATTAACTATTTTTATTTTTTTTTCCAAAATAAAAAAGTAAAAACTTTTTTTGACAAATTCAGTTCATAAAATGAGATATAAAATAAGAAATAAAATAAAACAAAAAATAAAAATTAATATCCTTTTTGGACATCCCAGTTCTAAAGACTTTTTAGGCATTATGAAAATTGCTTTGTGTATAAGACTTTTTTTTGCATCTTTCAATATTTTCCATTTCATTTTTCTATATTTTTTTTATTTTGAATTTTCTTTTTGAACTTACCAAAAAATATTCTAGAAAACAAAAAGTGAAAATGCTTAATTTGAGATAAATACAGTATATGATATTCATTTTTAATTTTTATTTCAAACACAAAGAATTTTGAATTTTTAAAACATTATAAAAAAAGAAAAGAAATTTAAAAAACTTTTCTAGGAAAAGGAAACATATAGAAAAAAAGAGTTAAAAAACAAATAATAAACAAAAAAAGAAATGAGCACGAGTGTCAATTATGGTTTAGAAAATATGCACCAATGCTCCGAAAATGACCAAAAAATTATCAAAGAGAGTGTGGGTGAAATGTTTTGAAACCACGAAAACTTTAAAAATAAGTTTTAAAAATAGAAGGTGTATTGGTGCCAGTTTTTTAAACCACAGGGGGCGGTGTAGCTATTTAGCCAATGATATACACAGGTGGACGTTTCTTATGGAATATTCCCTCTATTCCTATTTAACAGTCTCGTTCATTTTTCGAATTTAAAATTTGACCAATAATATTTCTTAATTTATATTAGCAAAAAATATTAAAAATAATACATTTTTAAAAATATTTCTCAATTTCAATAATTTGGTATAATTTTTATATTTAAATTTATTGTTATATTTTTACATATAGTTAGTCAAATGTTTGATACGCAACGCGAAAGAAACATTTAATAGGAATGGGTGGAGAACTGAGTATTAAATACACTCCATCCTCAATTCCTCATAATTGTTATCGTCTCATTCATAAGTAAAGACTATTTTTCTTTTTTTTTCTGTTAAAAAAGTACAGTTGCATTCTCTCCCATTTTTTATAGAGTGGAGTCTTTATGTGACTTTTAGATATATGTTTTGATATTTTCTATGATCAATATTGTTTTCCTAGTTTCATTTTGTGGTCTCCAATAGAAATGTTGAAATTCAATCTCACCAAGTATTAATTTCACAAATCTCTCAAGATTTATGAAAATAATACTCCCTTTATCCAACAATTAACTTCTCATTTACTATTTACATGTCAAACTTTATGCACTTTGTTGGCTTATTTCACTTGACCATTGATAAAATAATATTGTCATCTCACATCTAATTTTGTAAAACTTTTCATAAAGTCACATGTGATAAAGTAACATTGTAGCCAATCGGCAAAATGGGGAGGGGCAGGAGGTGTTATGGTGGAGTGGGCATGTAGGGGGTAGGGGTAGGGTTTAGGAGGGTAAAAATCTTCAATTTTACGAACGAAGCACCATAGGGGCCCCGGGTCATAGTATGACTCAAGGTTCTAAGGTCAAAAGAACCATTTTGATGTAATTTTTATTTTTAATTCCTCACCACTTTTAATATAAAGTGATTTAAAAATAATTTCAGTCAAACATCATAACGCACAATGGAAAGATAATTGTTGGATGAGGGAATATTAAACTAGACACAAAATATTAAACTCAATAATTAGAATCAAATTAAAGAACTTACGTGAGCTGGATCCCTTGGCTTTATTTATAGCCTCCTAGGCTTCCTCCTCCTATTAAACGTGTCTTAAGAATAAGTAGAGCTCTTCCCAAGTAAATAAACTTAGCACATGACTCTTGCCCATTAACTGATCCTCACGGCCCACATGGGTTAACCCATATATAGGGCTGTGCATTATTCGGTCCGGACCCGGACCGACCCGAAATCCGGCCAAAACCGGACCGGACCGGACCGGTCCGGACCGGTCCTTATTCGGTCCGGTCTCCGGTCCTCATTTTTTCCTTATTCGGGTTCCGGTCCGGTCCACCGGGTTTCGGTCCGGACCGGTGGACCGGTTAGATTTTATTTTTTAAAATATTTTTTAATGTTTTTTCTTATACTTAAAATTAGTTTAACTTTAATGCTAATTTTTTTTAAATGTTTTGATTTTATTATTTAATATAATTTTTTAAATACATTTCAATTTAAAATAAGATACCAATTGTAATGATTTTTAAATATTTTTAATATGAAAGGTGTGAAAAAGTAAAAATTATCTTTAAATTAGCGATCTAATGCATTTCAAATTTATATACCAATACTATAACTTAAATTTGTATTTTATCAATAATAAAACTCTAATCCGCAAGACAAACATTGTAAACAATCTCATGAACAAAAATAGTAAAAAATGTATCTGTTGGTCAAAATAATTCGAAACTCAAAAAAATATTACAAAAAAACAAAAATGTACTAAGAAGAAGTATATTCCCTATGCAAAATAAAAATTATGAACAGATTTTATGCAATACGGATTGTGTTTGATAATGTTTAGTGCATGTTACAATTAAAAATTAGTTGTAGTAATATTTTTATTCAATTGAATACTTTAAATTAAAAAAATAAAATAAAATTTTTTTAAAAAAATTAAAAGTAACATTATTCGGTCCGGTCCCGGTCCGTTCCGGTCCCGGGCCGGTCCTTAGCTTAATCGGTCCGGTCCTCGGTTCACCAAATGCCCCTTATTCGGTCCCGGTCCGGTCCCGGTCCAGGCCGGTCCGGTCCGGGTTTGACCCGATGAACACCCCTACCCATATATATGCTCACGGGTCATAACCAAGTTTAGGATCTAAGCGTTGGGCCGGATAACGCATATATATATATATATATATATATATATATATATATATATATATATAGAGCTAATTACATTAATAATTACATCTTGGTCTAATTTACGCATCACAAGCCCCTTAGTTTCATGTGTGGGCTTGCCCACCAAGAATTTACAATTATTGATCTATAATTAATCATCATATAATCAAATCACCTTGATCTCCAATCCGATATCCTTCAAGCCATTCGTGTGTTGCCAGCTAACGTTCTTCATCATCATCCTAAACAATCATCATCTCTTCGGAAAAGACGCACACAATCACCTACCCTCATTATCTCAAAGTCATCACTACTTTGCAACCCAGGTGCACACCTCTGACTGTTGTAGTCGCCTCAACTTCCCAATCACCTCTATAAATCCAAATAAGCCATCTTCTTCTTTCTTTATGCCTCCTAAAATTTCCAAGCATCCCTGCTAATTTCACGATCCTTTTCTTTGTCTTCCTCTCAGTTTTAGATCTTTAAATCCTTTCGAGGTCCGTTGATTCCTTCTTTTCACCTTCTCAATTTATTTTCAGATCTCTAATATCACCCTCTATCCTCAGGAAATTGTGAGTAAATATGGAGCAATGGGATCCATGCATTCCCAAGCAACAGGCTCTTTCTGTGTGAGTGACAGCTCTTATAAAATCATAGGATCCATGGGGAGGAGAGCTCTTCAGGAGAGGAAGAAGAAACTCCTCCTGGAGTGAAGAAGATGGAAGCTCGTCGCAAGCTGCCAAAGTCTCCACTAGCCCTTCTGACCAAAGATCTGGTACTCCAACTATAGCTCGGGAGACCGTATCTACCCCGGTAGATCTTGTGCTGAAGTCTTCCTCAATTAATCTCTTAGGTACATCCTTAATTAATTCTTTCCTCTCTCAATGCTTTTTATCAGTTTTAAATGTTTTCCACTTGCATATGCACATATGTGATGTTCCTGTATCTGTATATATTGACTGTGACATCCATCTCCCATTCCTAGTCCAAAAACGTAAAATGCCAAGGGTCCAATTGGAAAGAAAACATCAATGGATGGAGGAGATGCCAAATACCTTTACCAAACTTAGCCCCATTCATACCAAAGATCACCTAGAAGTTGTCCCAACATGACGGGCCAACTCTGTTCCTCAAAAAGAGGAGCTTGTCTACTCCAAAAGATTCGGTGCTCCTCTTCTGCCACCAAAGGCCCAAACCTGCCGCCTGGTGGCTGATCCAAAAATAAACCCTCGTGCACACTCTCAATCCCCCCATCTGCTGGTTCCTCAGCCAAAAACCCCGGGACGTGTGATCACTCCCTTCCGGAACCCTCCTTAGACTTTAACGAGCTAAGCTACACAAAATTTCCGGAAAGGTAGCCTGATTTTTTAGCCACATGGAGGTGGCCTTCACTGTTTTCAGAGCCTTTAAAAAAGCGACGGATCTGGCCCGAGCCTTTAAAAAAGCGACGAATCTAGCTCGAGCCGGAGCACAGGGAAAAGATGATCCATCCTTCCCGGACCTTCTACCACACCTTTCTTTAAGCCAACTCCTAGCAATAATACCCTAAGTATTGTCTAGTAGTCCTTGCACATCCCAAATTTCTTTACTCACCGTACTTCATTCTTGTTTCTAGCTGAACCAAACCATCTTTGCCCTTTGCCAAAAATATGTCACTGATCATCTTATACCTCATTCCGGCATACACCAGTGAGGTGTTCCGACGTCGGTACAGAGCTCAGAGCATATACAGAAATCCAATAAATATATATGAACGTCAATTAAGTCCTTATCATGCTCCTACGCTAATTAATCAATATATAATCCAAAAATCAATTCAACAAGCAAGTTAATACAATGTAACCACTCATAGAACATATATGAATATAGAATTTGTGACACCCTAATCCGTCCAAGTCTGCAACCCCTTTCGAAATAAAGTATTAACTTGCTAATCGTAGAAATTTAAAACTTTTCAAACACTTTTATTTATCACAATAATATTTTTCATAACATATACAATACAGAGTATTCAACAATATTGCGGAAGCGAATTTAAATATTGTCATATCATAATAAATCATTTCAAGACTTGTTACATCCATCCCGACAATCTTGCCCCATCTGCCGTCAGGATCACATTGTTCTTTATGTTTATCTCCGTGTAACAAATAAAAGATACGACATGCTCAGAGTTGAAGCTGAGTAAGCATATCTAATGCGTTGAACATCCATATAAACTGAATCTCAATTCATAATCAAATCATTTGATATCATGCACACAATGTTCAATTCAGACATTCACAATTTTGATATTGTTCAGTTCATATCAACATATTTTATTCAATTCAGATATCATTTTGACAGTGCTCTTAAATTATTCTTAATCTAAAGCCAAATAATAACAACGCTCTTAGCTATTCTTAGTCTAAGGCCAGATCATAATAACGCTCTTAGCTATTCTTAGTCTAAGTCCAAATCATAATTTTCATAACCAGACTCTTAAAATATGTCTAGTTTAAGGCCATTAACCATACTCTTTAAAAGACAATTAATAATCAGACATTTAAACTATCATTAGTTTAAGGCAATTGATTTCAGACTCTTAACTGTAGTCAGTTAAGGCAACAACAATATAGCGACTAATCAACGTCGGATCGGGGTATTCCCAAATGAGTGATCCTCTAGTTTGGTCTATAAATTCCTTTTATACATTTTTATCCACATCAATGAATATTCTTATTTTCATAAGTCCGTTCTAATACGAGATCTATTCTAGAGGTCTTCTAGATAGCTTTAACAACAATTATCTAAATGGGTATATCTTAGAGTTCTTCTAGATACCCTTAACAATACAAATCATTTCATAATTATCAATGTATTCATTTTACTCATGGTTCAATCATCAATAATCATTTTAATCAACAGGTTCATCATTCATAATCATCCATAATAATCATTCATCATAATTATTAATCAACATAACATCCAATAGCAAATAGCGGCCTCGTTTCGAGTGTTAACACCCTAACTTACCGTCATGCATCACATAACATTTTATTTGTTAAAAACATCATTTTCATGGATAAAAATCATCTTTATATTGTTCATAATCAATTGGTATCAAAAATAGGATTTTAGAGATCAAAAATAGCATTTTCGGAAGTATTTTCGAAGCAATCAGGTCGGGGGGATTGATCGAGTACCTAGGATCGATCCACCATGTGAAATTAGTCCTAGAGGATCAATCCATCTAGTTGGATCGATCCACCCTGCATAGTTTTGGGTTTCTGTTCATCATCTTCTACCTTCGGGTCCATTTTCGAAAATATCATTTTTAGCCACCAAATTTCAATTAAACTATATAGAAATGTTCTCCAAGGTTCATAGATCATTTTGGTATCATTAATCCATAGTTTTAATAACAATTTCATGGTTTATGATTCTTGGTTCTTCAAACATGTCAAACACAAAACTCAACCAAACGACCGTTTATGAACGTAGAAACGATCTATACGAACATTCTAGTAACTAGATATATCTACGGGCTTACCTCGAGCTTAAATGGAAGTTTTGGAAATTTTCCGGGGAAACTTCCGGCAACGATAACTCCCAACTCCGGCGACCTCGGCGGCAACCAACAATACCAGACTTCTCCCCTCACTCTCAGGATTCTTAAGGGACAATTTTCATCAAGATTGGTGTAGAAATGGTAAGGATTGAGTATCCTTAAATAGGAGAAGAGAAGAGGAAGAAGACAACCTGCTAGGTCATTGCTACATCCGTGAATCGCGTAGTGGAGGGGGTTGCGCCGATAAAAGATTTACACAATTCTTCCTTGATTGGGACTAATTTCGGTTCCAGTCGGGGTACACTTTTTGGTCCAACTTTCTCTGAATTGAATTTCGTTTGCAACATTGCGATTAGACAACTCTATTCAACGATATAATTTTTATATTTATTTGTAATATTTTTCCGACATTATATTTTGGGATGTTTGACTTTGATAGAGTCATTATTGGTTTTATTGACCTTTACTCAAAAAAGTTCTTACATTTAATTTATTCTCAATAATTAATTTCAAAGTTCACATCACAGACAAATTCTTCATTTATTCTTAATTTAGGTCTGTACTTAGATTCCCAATCAAGATCATACAATAAGTTAACATATTGGATTTATCTTTTTGAAACGTATCCAGATTGTGATATTGGATATCAGAACATCTTTCATTTTGGACTAAAGCCCAACAATAATTTATTTTTAATCAAAACAAATTTGATTAATTAAATATTTATTCATTAATAATTCTAGGGTATGTTTTAGGGCGTTACAGAATTACTCTACAAACTAATCCTACTGCTAGATATATGGAATTACAACTCACCTCGTATGATTGGATAAATTAAACAAACCGACCAAATCAAAATTGACACAAAAGAAGAATGCCCAACAGCTACGCTACAGGGATCGATTGGTGTAACTCCCACACCTCATACATCCTCGATCTTGAGAAGCGTATATAAATTCTCTCTTAGCTCTCGCTGCCACTGCGCTATTATGAAAACATATATGATACAAAGTATATACATGGGCTAAAAGGAGTGCTTTCAAAGTTGGGGTAGGTTTAGGTTATATATTATTAAACTATTATATTATAAAATTA